AGGAGCTATCTCCCAAATCCGCCTCAAATCCCGAACATTTTTTTTATTTAAAATAATATTTATCCTACATTTATAAAACTACTCAAATTCATCTCAATTTAAGTTGACAATATTAAATAAATTTCATATTATATATTTATTGATCATATTATATTATCTCTTATTATCGGTTTTAGTTCGGAAATGGGGATAACAATACCATTCCCACCCTGTACCCGACCATAAATTTTTAAAATTTAGAGATCCGAGTACCCACTCTTGATTTTCCCCAAATATATCTCCCTATTAGAGCGATTCCAGCGAGGGGCCTAGCCCAAGGCTGGGGGGAGAAAAACGAAAAAACCATCTTCCAGCGGTCAGCCCAAGCCCGGGCAGGCTGTGGGTCCCAGCAAGTCGGGCTGGCCCAAAGGCCAGTTCAGCCCGAGGGCGAACCCGCGAGTTGGATGACGTCAGGCGCGACGTCAGCGGTTTAAATTTTTTTTACCGTTGGCGCTTGCATTGCACGCGCCAACGTTAAAAAAAAATTAAACCAGCGTGCGTTGACGTCAGCGCGACGCAAGCTCCAACGATAGAATCCACGTGTCACGCCCCCAGCGCTCCGATCTACTTCTCCAAATCCAATCCAACGGCTGGCATTTTTTTGGCAATAAAATTATGAAAAAAAATTGAAATTTTTTTTAAAAAATACTAAAAAATTCTGATTTTTTTTTCTTCCTATAAATACCTATAAATACCCTTCATTTTCAACACCAATCCTCATACATTTTATTCTACTTCTACTATTATTCACTCTTTACTCAACATTTTCCTCTCTTTCACCTTGTATTTTTTTTCTTCTTATTTTTATGGTTTCTTCTATCGAAACCGGAGGGGCGTGGAGCACCATGGAAGATGTTTCATTGTGTGAGGCTTGGCTCCAAGTTTGTCATTGTCCCGTGACAGGCAATGAGATGAAATCTTTTCATATGTGGAAAAAAATTCATGGCGAATTTTGTGAAAAAATTCCGGGGTCAACTCGTACGGAAATGGCATTGTCTAGTAGGTGAAAAATTCTCAATAAAGAGTTGGGAAAATGGAGAGATGCCTTGTCCAAAGCGATGGACAACTATAGAAGCGGGGAAAATTGTACTAACGAGGTAAGTATTTTGTAATTTTCGTTTTATTAAGTTTAATGCCCTAATATATATATATTTTAAATATTTATTGCATTTTCAATATTTTGTTAATATTTCTTGCAAATTAAATATTTTGTTCATATTTCTTGCATTTTAAATATTTTGTTAATATTTCTTGCATTTTCAATATGTTGTTAATATTTCTTGCATTTCCAATTGTTTCTTAATATTTCTTGCACTTCAAATTTATTTGTAAGGTTAATTGCATTTCCATTATTATTTTTTTGTTACTTGCATATCCAATATATTTTAAATATTTCTTGCATTTCCTTTTTTTTGTTAAATAGATGATTCAAGCACAGATGTGGTTCGGTGCAACCGGGGGTGGCAAAAAAAGTTTCAACCATCATGAATGTTGGGAGGTGGTGAAATATTGCAAACGCTTCATAATTATTCCCACGGGTCCC